CATTTGGGCTCTGGTGTCGACCCCCAAGCATAACTCTAACTAGTTCGTGTCCATTGTCCCCACTCCAGGGACATGGGGTCTGGATGGATGTTTTAGATGCAGTTACTAGGTCTGGTAAAGTACCTGCCTGCCAATGCAGGAGATGCGGGTTTGATCCCTGGGTCAGGAAGATCTCAAGGCTTCTCAGGTGGCAATAGTGATAAAGAACCCACCTCCCAGTGCGGGAGACCTGAGAAACATTGGTTCAATCCCTGGGTCTGATCTCCTGGAAGAGGGATCATGGCATGGCATGCCATGGCAACCCACTCCAGTATTCTTATCTGGAGAATTCCATGGACAGAGGAGCCTGGTGGACTACAATCAATAGGGCCGCCAAGAGTTGGACACAACTGAAATGACTTAGCACGCACATGCACACACACGCATCACATGGAGGTTCCAGATAGAGGGACTGTCCATCTTGACTGCCAGTGGTTCACCAGAGAGTGACTCAGGCTATATCACTGCACAGATCTAGTTATTTGCATTACATTCAATGCAACTATATAGATTTGGAGGGATCAAACAAGAAATTGTTTCATCTCCTCTAAAACCTCTTCGCTAAAACCACAGACTAGATTTTATTGATGTTTCTCCACAAACCTTCTCCAGATTCCATTCTCACTTACCTCTTGTTTAAAAATTTTAGGGACTTTCCTGGCAGTCCATTGTTTAAGAATCTGCACTTCCACTGCAGGGGGAATGGGTTCAATCTACGATCAGGGAATGAAGGTCCCATACGCTGCACTGCACAACCCAAAATAAATAAGTACTAAAATGACATCTTTATATATTGATATACTAGCTATGGGCCTCCCAGGTGTCACCAGTGGCCTTTCCAGGTGGCGCCAGTGATAAAGAATCATCTATCAGTGCAGGAGACATAAGAGACGCAGGTTTGATCCCTGGGTTGGGAAGACCAGCTGAAGGGGGGCATGACAACCCACTCCAGTATTCTTGCCTAGAGAATCCCACAGAAAGAGGAGCCTGGTGGGCTATAATTCACGGGGTTGCAAAGAATTGGACACAACTGAAGTGACTGAGCACAGCACACACATACTAGCTCTATTGATAAAATTTTGGTTTTGCCTTGTTTTGATGGCTGTTTGGAGCAGACTGGGAAAGAGGTAATGCTATCCTAAGTCAACAATATAATATTATCAGCAGAATTTTGCTCATATGTTTATTTATTGTTATTAGTTATGGCCTGCCCTGTGTACGTTTAGCAATATGTACCAATATTCTTAATGAGAATGAAGGAATAGGAGCTATATGAATGGAGAACAGGTATAAAAGGAGAGTTTTGCTCTAGCTTTTGTTTTGTTTTTACAATATTTGATGTTAAGATTGCAGGAATTTATTAAGTATTCAAAATCTGTTAGAACATAAAAAAGAACTCTAGGTCCATCAGGATTATTCAAATGGAAACCAGAAGAAGAGAGGAAATAGAGTGGAGCCGAGACAATTGTGTGGATGATGGCTGTCATTCAACCACAGGTCGGGTAACAGGGCACTACCGACTAGGTGCCTGGTGAACATGCATTTTTCACAATTCTGGACACTGCAGGTCTAAGATGAGGGTGCCAGTGTGATTGGGTGCTTGGTGAGGGCTTACTTCCTGGCTCACAGGTGGTTGCCTCCTTGTCTTTACTTAGCTGAGAGCTCTTGTCTTTCTTTCCTTTCTCTATAAGTCACCGGGACTTCACGGGTGGCACTAGTGGTAACGTACCCACCTGCCAGTGCAGGAGATATAAGAGATATAAGAGATGCAAGTTCAATCCCTGGATCAGGAAGATCCCCTAGCAGAGGAAATGGCTTACCCACTGCAGTATTCTTGCCTGGAGACTCCCATGGACAGAGGAGCCTAGAGGGCTACAGTCCATAGGGTTGCAAAGAGTCGGACACGACTGAAGCAACTTAGCACGCATAGGTGTTACAGAGTCCAAGCTCTCTCTGCTCGCCTCATGATAAGCTAATAAATCTGAGACAAGGTGTTAAGTCAAAGAAGGGACTTTATTCGAGAGCTGGCTGACCAAGAAGATGGTAGGCTAGCACCTCAAAATAACCATTTGTCCAAGCCTAGATGCCAGGTTCTTTTATGGATCGGAGACGGGGAGGTGGTGAGGCAACAAAGTAAAATGTCACCTTGCAAATGTTCCTGAGAATGGCAAGCCTCACGAAGGGGGATGTGTTGGTTTCACTTTGTTACAGTGATTTCATGGGTGGTGTGAAATGGAATATCTCCTGTCATATCAACAAACAAAGATGCTGCATCTATCTGCAATTCCCGCCTCCCCAAATGTGAATTTCTGGGCCACGCCAGTAAGCAGCAGGTGACGGGGGGCTCCACCATTTGCTACACAAAGAATTTAAGAATGTCAGTCTTTCACAAGTGGGTGGAGTCAAGTTATCTCCCTGAGGCAGACCACTATGTATGCCTATAATAACAAAACTGGCAAGATAAGGATTAAAGTCACAGAGCAGATCCATTGTGAATTCAAAATTAACCCTTCCTGGTTACACAAGAACACTAATTACATCCTTGACTCACCCTCATGACCAATTCTAATTCCAGTTATCCCCCAAAGACCCAGCCTACAAACTACATTACATCAGGGATTAGGGTTTCAACATCTGTGTTGGAATGAGGATAACAAATATTCAGGCCATAGTGGTGGCTAAGAGTTTTCCAGAACTAAACCAAGACACAGGTTTCCAAATGGAAAACATCTCCTGATGAATAAGCTAAATTTCGAAAACTATTTAAAAGGACTCCTAATGCAATGAAATATCAAGAACAGTATCAAAAACAAAAATAAAATTATTGACTTTTAATAATTTAAACTATAAGAAGCAAAACTACAGAGACATCACTTTGCCCACAAAAGTCGCTGCAGTCAAAGTTAGGGTTCTTCCAATAGTCAGGTATGGATGTGAGAGTTGGACCATAAAGAAGGCTGAGCACTGAAGAATTGATGCTTTTGAATTGTGGAGCTGGAAAAGACTTTTGAGAGTCTCTTGGACAGCAAGGAGATCAAACCAGTCAATCCTAAGGGAAATCAACCCTGAATATTCATTGGAAGGACTGATGCTAAAACTGAAGCTCCAATACTTTGACCGCATGATGAAAGAGCCAACTCATTAGAAAAGTCTCTGATGCTGGGAAAGAATGAAGGCATGAGGAGAAGGGGATGACAGAGGATGAGATGGTTGGATGGCATCACTGACTCAATGGACTTGCATTTGCGCAAACTCAGGGAGATAGTGAAGGACAGGGAAGCCTGGAATGCTGCAGTCCATGGGGTCACGAAGAGTAAGACATGACTTAGCAACTGAATAACAACAAAGTGTGAAGAACACTTTGAACCTAGAATTCTACGCTCATGCGCTAATTCAGTAATGATGGTGATATATATCTTAAGACTCACAACCTCACAATGATTCAGAAAGTTACTATTTGTCACCTTGCTGAATGAATTGGTAAAATACATTTTTTAAATGAATCTAAAAGTAAGTAGGAGAAAGCAAGGAAGAACCTCTAATTTTTAAGAATGTCTGATTTAGAGGAGATAAATCACAATTCAAGCCTTAAAGAATTAGCTGAATAATTTTGGGGGACTCTATGCTTGACCAGCTGACAATGAGACTGTTTTATTGCTGACTAAGAAAATAATTATATGCACTAGTATTTATTAAGTACTGTATGTGCTAAGCATTCATTTAATTTCTTGTTAGGTATGGATTCATTCCACCATCAGAACAACCTTTTGAGAAAAGCACTGTTTTCTCTAGTTTACACTGGAAGAAAACTGAAGCAGGAAGAAGCATCCTTCCCAGCTTGTGGTTAGAGGACTCCTAAATGTTCAAACTGGGGTTTGGGTGCAGTTAAGTCAAGGTCATAAGGCCACCTCTTTAGCCATGATGCTCCAGTGCATCACCCATCCCTGGATTTCATCATAAAGACAGCAGTGCCTGGAATGCATTTTCAGGATCCAGCCACGCTTCTGCAGCCAGGTCAAACTCCCTAAACCTCAGATCTTCCTTATTTCTCAGGACTTAAATTATGTTTTTCTGTGCTGCTGATCCACTCAAAACTATTCAGTGCTATTCGAAGCAAACACGCTTAAAAGAAGTCAGCTTATGTTTTCCTTCCACCCTTGTGCCTAGCTCTCCTCTACCCCTCTGAGCTCTCTCTCTCAACTCACTTGATGCTATGAGTCGACCTTGATGCTATGTCTGCACCACTAGACTCAGTGTTTATGTCTGATGTCCTGATTTGAACACAGGGGTCCCCAAAGGACGCTGACCCAAACTATCCTTTTGAACTGCTATACTTTTTGCTTCTGTGAGAAGGCAGTTCTAATCAATTTTTCACACAGCTTCATTCCACCCCCAACACTGGGGCCCCTTGCAAAGCAGTTGGTTGTTCCCTTGGTTCCTTTATTCTATTTACTTGGTTCTCACAAACAAGCTGTGATGCCTGATTTCTGAGAAACAAGATAACCAGATCTTATAATCTAAAGACCTAATAGAATGTAAACAAACAAATGGTTTGTGAAAATAGGTTTATTTTCTATATTTTTGCAACCTTACATAAGTTACAGCCACATATATGGGATACATAATGCTAGAAATGCGTACAATATATATTTCCCTGTTGTTCAATGCTTTCTTCTAGGTTTCTATTACAAAAGGACATAGAAGTCCACCTACGTATCCTTCATTTTAAGAACAAAACATGCCTGCATGCTTAGTCACTAAGTCATGTCTCACTTTTTGCAACCCCATGGACTGTAGCCTGCTAGGCTCCTCTGTCCATGGAATTCTTCAGGCAAGAACACTGAAGTGGGTATCCATTCCCTTCTCCAGGAGATCGTCCCGACCCAGGGATCAAACTCAGGTATCCTGCATTGCAGGTGGATTCTTCACCCTCTGAGCCACCAGGGAAGCCCACAAATACATATATTTCCTTAGAAAGAAAAATAAGTGATGACTGGCTTCTGTAAATGTATCAGCTACAGTAGACAGTGACCATAATAAAATATATAGATATAAAACAATAAATAATACAGTAGAAGTTAATGCTATAAAATAAACTGAGAGTAAGAGCTAAATGAGATATCATCCCATTTTAGGAGGCCAAATGATTAATGGGGAGGGTAATGTTATGATTGACAGTCACGCTATGTCTGTGTTTCTAGTTAGTATGTAATAAAAGTTCAGAAAGGCAGAAACATGCAGAGGTCTCTAAAGTTCTGGCATTTGCAGAAATCCTGAGACTTGTACCTCATATTACAAATTCCTGTGCAGAAATGGAAATTTTCCATTTAGGGTGATGCAAATCTGCCCCAAAAGAGAATGCTTTTGGTTATCTTGTGCACGATAAGGAAGAGGAAAGGATGGTCTGCCACGAACTGTGGGCCTCCATGGCCTGTTCTCCCTGTTACAATGGCCCCAGTGCCGGCAGCAGCCTCAGTGCCCTCCTCGTTCACGTCCACAGAAGCTTGATGGAACACTTCAGACAGAAACAGGTCATTCTTTTCTGACATGCCTGCGAAATTGGCTTGGCCTCGGCTGAAGGCATCGCCCATGCCCATGCTCGTGAGAATGGTCTTGAGTCCATAATGCTCTTCCAGTCTGAACTTGGGGATGTACACCTCCACGTCATCCTCACCCATGGTGTCCTCGCTGAGCCACTTGCTGAGTTTGTCATGGGTGATTTCTCTCTCCAGCTACGAATCCAAAAGATAAAACCACTGAGTGCTAGCAGAGAAGGACAACAACCTCTAATGTTGACAACCAATGACTTTACTATATTAAAGTAAAGTAGGTGATATTAAAATTTAATAGTTCGGTAAAAATTTTGCAAGAAGATAGCATATATGAGACATGTTTAAGGCTTCTGAATGACTGGGAAACCTGGCACAGTTCGTCTCAAACAAGTTCACATATTCAAACTGCACACCGTTTCCTCAGATGTAGGCATGTGCAAGGGCTTCCCAGGTGACTCAGTGATAACATATCCACCTGCCAATGCAGGAGACGTGGGTTTGATCCTTGGGGCAGGAAGATCCCCTGGAGAAGGAAATGACAACCTGCTCCAGTAATCTTGCCTGGGAAGTCCCATGGACAGAGGAGTATGGTGGGCTACAGTCCAGGGGTCTCAAAGAGTCGGACACGACTGAGCGACTGAACAGCAACCAGAACAGCAGACATGCGCAAAGGCGAGTTTAGCCCCAGAAGTTTGAAACAACGGAAGCTGGAATTCTTACCAACTCCAAGCCTGTAGAGGATTCAGCAATTCCATCTGGAAGCAGCAGGAACATACTGACCTCTCCAGCATATGGGAGTTCTAGAATCTGGACCTTCAGGTCTGCTATGTATCCAATGTTTAGCTTTTCATGCAGGAACATCATCTCTACTGATTTGTGCTGAGTCTAAAGTAATTAAAAAGTAAAATATGAAAGTTGATAGTAAGATGTCAAAAGATTTACAATCAGACATAAAAGAGAAAGGGTTCTGCTTTCATGCTAAAGAAATAGATTTTTTTAATTAAAAATTTGTTTCGAAATTTGTTTAAAAACATCAAAATATATTTAAAAAATAAAAATTTATTATTTGTATACTCTCACAGTGACTCTGATCTATTTTGTTTTTTCAAGATTATACCCATTAGTAATAAGATGGACAATTATAATTAAATACTAAAACATTTGTTCAGTACCTTAACTAGGGGTCAAGAACTCTGCAAAATCTCATTGAATCCTTACAACAACATTTTGAGTTGGATATTATCATCCTAGTTTCACAGATCAAAAAAAGGAGTGCATGAACCACAAGTAACATCTTAGTTGGTACAGCCTACATATGAGTGCAAGATTGTGTAATTATAAAGCCCATGGTCCTTACCATTACTCATATGACCTCTCGGAAAATTACTAAGTGCCATTCAGTAACCTGAAAGAGTCAGTCAACTATCCAGTGTGTATATAACTATTAATAGCAAACCATGTATGGGTATCAATAAGTGGTCCCAATTTTTCTTTCTCTATTTTGTCAAAGACCCTAAAATATAAGTTAAGAAAATCTGTTTTGTTGTCATTGTCTCATACCGAGTTCACACGGAAAGGATAAAGCCCCTTTAGTTTCTTCTGAAATGGAGTCTTCCATTTTCCTTTGAAGTAGACAGCATTCACCAGGACCATCTTGGTGTCTGCATCAACAGAACCTTCAGGTAACAAGTTTGGGATTTTGCCTACAGAAAATATGATATATGTTTATGTTTCATGATTAACAATTATGAAGTCATTATGATTTCTTGAATCTTTTGAGTCACCATCTAGCTTAGCATACACATTTACTGAACTCTGCAGTGACGTTGATATTCACATTCAAATTTTTCTCTTAATTTATTTAAAACATAGGTAAAACTCAGACCAAATTTTTCAGTTTTGCAAAATTCAAGAGCAACTGAAGAAGTAATGTAATTAAGATTTAGAATTGCTATCAGACTTGGAAAAAAATTTAATTTCTTTTAATTTTTTTTCCTTTGTGCTGCATGCAGGATCTTATTCCTCTGACCAGGAACTGAACCTGTATCCCTTGCCTTGAGATCACAGAGTCTTAATCCCTGGATTGCCAGAGAAGTCCCAGGAATTTTTAAATTCCTTTTATACTGTTTTCTCAAAGTTTTATAGTTATATGAAGTTAGTTCATTCAGATAGGAGTGAAAAAGAGACTCAAGGAGTATAATGGGTTTCACTGGTGGCTCAGATGTTAAAGTATCTGCCAGCAATGCAGAAGACCTGAGTTCAGTCCCTGCATGGCGAAGATCCCTTGGAGAAGAGAATGGCAACCCACTCCAGTAATCTTGCCTGGAGAATTTCACGGGCAGAGGAGCCTGGCGGGCTATAGTCCATGGGATCGCAGAGTCGGACACGACTGATCGTCGGACACTAACAAGGTATTCAATAGCACATTTCCCCAGTATGTCAGTAGGCCTCCTTCTAGATCTGGTCTAGACAGCCCATAGGTCTAACTCACTGATTCACCCAAAAACAGTGTTTTGGAAGCTGTGCTACACCTACATCAGGAATAGCACAGATTCAGGAAGTAACAAAGGAAAAATTGTCCTGGGGGCGGGGCAGGCTTAGAATGTTGGAAGAGACACTCTAAATCATTCGGGAAAGAAAGTGAAGTGAGTCCTATTAAGAGAGCTGAATAATGCAGAAAACTGCAACAACACAGAGAACGGAGTGAATGACTGAGTCCAAGAAAGTTCCCAGAAGTGATAATATCTGAGTGTGATTTTTTTTAAGTTGGTTTAAGAAACAGCCCTTTTATAGTGAATACCTGCTCTGCAATATTTCAAGCACATTATTTTATTTAATCCTCACAACCATTCTAGTAAGGGAGTATTATTAGTGTCATTTTACACGAATAGGAAATCAATGTTGAATATTCATTGGAAGGACTGATGCTGAAGCTGAAGCTCCAATACTTTGGCCACCTGCTGGGAAGAGTCAACTCATTGGAAAAGACCCTGATGCTGGAAAGATTGAGAGCAAGAGGAGAAGGCAGCAACAGAGGATGAGATGGTTCGATGGCATCACTGACTCAATGGACATGAGTTTGAGTAAACTGCAGGAGATAGTGAAGGACAGGGAAGCCTGGCTTGCTGCAGTTCATGGGGTGGCAAAGAGTTGGACATGACTTAGCAACTGAACAACAACACGAACAGACACCATAGTGAGATATTAGTAATCTTTCCAAGGTCACAATGCTTGAGAACTGGTCAGAATTCCACCATCTTCCATTTCTGCTGACACATACGAGACTCAAGCAAATAGGTCACTATAGTCTGACCAGTTTCAGTATAGTTATTCAATATCTTCATTCAGCATAACCCTTAGTAATTAAAACTCCTGGTTACTACTTGGAAATCTACTGAGACTTTATTTAACTTTGTGACACATAATATTTGATCATAACAAGGAAAAAAGAAGTTTTTCTCAAATTACTATAAAAATTGGTAAAACAATCTGTCTAAATGACTATTTGGCATTTTTGCAATTTCACTGATTGATTTATAGCCATTCAGCACAAACACTTAGAAAGAAGAGAAATTCTTGTTGTTCTCAAAAAAGCAAAGCTTTCATGCATCTCTTTGATTTTGCAATCTGCTTTGACTTTCATTTTTGTTAAATCTTCACTTTCTCTGCTTCCTTTTTGTCAGTGGTGCATCAATCTTTCAGAGCAGTAATTAAAAAATCTAGAAATGAAGAACTAAAGTAGGCCAACTGTTTTTAGAGAAATAATAATTCTATGTTCAATTCTACAGAACTTAATACAAGTGCTTTTTATATTATGGTAGCTAATAAATCAGGATAGCATACTATGGTTTGAAATAATGTTTTAAACATAGGAGGCAGGAACTTCCCTAGTAGTCCAGTGACTCAGATTCCATGCTGCCAACGCTGGGGGGCCCAGGTTCAGTCCCTGGTCAGGGAACTAGATTTTACATGCCACAACTGCGACCCAACACAGCCAAATAAAAATGTATTTAAAAGTAAATAAATAAGCATAGGAGATAAGTGAAAATATGTTTTCTGCATTAAGGTATCAAACTCTTTAAACATTTATTTGAAGAATTCCAGAATTAGACTAAGGCTCAGAAGAAGAGGAAACCGCAGCTGCACCATGAACAGAGAGTGGGATCTTGGATGAGTCAGTTAAGAACAGAGGACATGCATAATAAAGGTAGAAGTAGCTTAGATGATTAATGGGAGATCAAGAAGGGACTGAAAGAACTGGACAACATACTGACTCTGGATGGTGAAATAGAAGAAAGAGCTAAAATTTTATGATCCCTCCTTTTCCATTGCCCATATTCTCACACCAATTACTCAGTTGAATATTGTTCCTTTTATCTTTGCTTTTGTTTGCAGTGAACATAAAGTCACAATTATTTTAATACTGATATTTCCTAAATTAGAAAAGATCTGCCTCTTCTTACACTCTATTCGGTAATAATCCAAACCAGATTATTGAAGTACTGAATATATATCTTCTATTAGTAGACCTTGATTATTTGTTTCTTACTTCAAACACCACAAAGCTCAACAAGAATCAGGTTACATTAGCCAAAATAACTAAGGTTAGGAGTAAGAGCCAAGTTCAGGATGAAAAAAAAAAAGAACACAGAGTTTTCTATGTGGAAAGAAGAGCAGAAACTATTTCCTTGGCTTTACCTTTGGTTTGAGTCTTGACCCAGGAATTAATCTTTTTTCTGGCATCTTCTGCACATTCTAGGAAGTCAACTGCCTGGGGTTCTATAGAGTAATATTTCTTGGAGAGTTGCATGTATTCCTTTAAAGCGAAAAAATAATGACAAGATTACTTAGAACATATACCCAACGAGTGAAAGTGAAAGTGTTAGCTGCTCAGTTGCGTCCGACTCTTTGTGACCCCATGGACTATAGCCCGCCAGTCTCCTCTGTCCATGGGAATCTCCAGCCAAGAATACTGGAGTGGGCTGTCATGCCTTCCTCCAGGATATCCAACCACCTGCGGTGTATTTGTAAATTACAGGTTTCCTGTCAAGACTGGGGAGCCTGAAGCAGGGTAAGGGGAGGTTGGCTGGGGGCTGATTATGTGCTCTCTTGACCCCCGCAATCCAGTACCAACTGCCTTTGTTCTCCTACATACTTTGCACGATGAACACCGAGTGCAGAGGGAGAGGCTGGGCGTGGGGTTGGCAGTTCTGGGAACTCCTGTGCGCACCTTCTTGTGACTTTACACATGGAGTTTTTACAGTAGAAATAGGAAGCACCCACGGAGGGAGCATGAGCACGGCTGTGTTGGCTCGTGTCCCATGGCTCTGGGGAGCCTTAGCGAGCCTGAGTGGAGATCTGACCCTCTGGGAATGAATCAGAGAAAACGGCTTTGAAAGTGACCTCCTTGCAAGTTTGGGGCCCTGCCATTTAGATTGCAGGTTTCACTCACTTCCTTGAATCTTGCAGATTTCTCTCCAAACAGTTTATTTGCACTTTCCAATAAATACTCCCCCATGGACACGTTGATGGCATTGCTGAGAGAACAGAAGGATGAATGGATTACCCCCGCAGCTTGTGCCTTAAAAGGAAAGAAGAGATTCATTTTATATAACTCAGGACTTCTAAACAAGATATTTCTTAAGCAATAGTATTTTTTTTTCTAGGATATCAATAAAATGCTGTATTACAATATACCTTTTTTTCTGGCACTTTAGAGGTAACTCAGGAAATAATGTTGAAATGGATATAGTACATTAAAATGTATCAGATAATTTTTTACTTGTTTCAGATTTTTCTGTGCCCATAGTATTGGATTTAACTGTAACAGAACTGAGATCCTAGAAAAAGTCAGGCTCCTTTGATACTTACCTAAGCTATAAAGTCTCTAAGAAATTTTTATTATATTAAAATGTTACCTTAGAAATGTTCTTTTAAAAGCTTATATAACTTCTACAAGTCCCTTGACATAATTAAGGAGTAGTGTGTGCAGTGGAATCTGGAGTTTAGAAAACATAAAATAGAGGGGAATTCCAATCCCCAACCTGAAGTTTGTGAGCATGATGACAGACATGGGGCTTAATCACAGCAGTGCCTGGGTGAAGCTGAGGTCAGAGCCCTGAAGATGGATCATCAGCTGTCCACTCAGGCCTGGCAGAATCACCTTTTGAAGAGGCCCTCTCACCATCTTGAATCTGTAATTCCCTGAGTGACAGACAGATGGAGCATCAGCGTTCCTAGGAAGGAACTTGTGAGAGGACCTAAATCAGGGTGTGATTGTGGAAGTTATTTACCAATAGGAGCCCATCTACACCAGGCTCTTATAATGTAGCTGAATAATGTTTAAGGAAGTGGAGTACTGGGAAAAGATATTAACCTGAGACTGATTAGATGAATGGATGGTAGATAAATAGAGAGTAGATGATGATCATGATAATGATAAATAGGTAGATATATTGGTGGTGTTCTGTTGCTAATGATGATGATGATAGATTGATAGATAGGGAGAGAGAAGGTAGGTAGATAGATAGATAGATAGATAGATAGATAGATAGATAGATGACAGATAGATAGATAGATGATAGATTGATAGATGACAGATAGATAGATAGATAGTAGGTGATGATCATAATGATAACAGTAGGTAGATAGATATGTGCTCATGCTCAATTGCTCAATTGTGTCCAACTCTTTGTGACCCCATGGACTATAGCCCGCCAATCTCCTCTGTCCATGGGATTTTTCAGGCAAGAATACTGGAGTGGGTTGCCATTTCCTACTCCAGGGAATCATCTTATCCAGGGTTTGAACCTACGTCTCCTGCATTGCAGGCAGATTCTTTACCACTGAGCCATTGGGGGAGCCCTAGATAGATAGGGAGAGAGGAGACAAAGGATACACAAAGGTCACTGACCTCTCCTGAAGTCACCATGCCTGGCCATCTCCATTCCTCAATTGTCACCCCTTACTCTGGAAATCTGCATTCACACATGTGTATTGTAGGAGTCTCTACCATGGCTTTAGGATAAATTATGCATACCCAACTAATGGCGGAGTGATGTGACAGAATTTACAGTCTTGACCTGGAAGTCATAAAGCATGGATTCTACCCCAGCTCTACCCTTCCTTATCAGAGTGACCGTAAGATATTTACTCAAGGACTGTGAGTCTTAGTTTTTTTCCTATGAATGGTGGAATTTGTACTAGGCTCCTTCCCTAATATTGTGACTTTAAGACAAGAAGTTTCTGGAAACAAAATACAAAAGAACTAGGAATGGATGAGTCAGATACCTGCAAAATAGCATCAGGATAGGTGCCCCTCTGGATCTGCTGTGAGAAATCACAACTTGTGAGGCTCCTTGGGCTCACTGGGGCACCTCTGTGGACTCCAACTTGGTTAAACTGAAGCACCTACAATTGGAATTAGAGAAAATCAGGTACATTTTTTTTGCTGCATTATTTAGCTTTTAAATCAACGGCTGTCAAAAGTACCTCTTGACCTCCTACGTCAAGTTCCTTGCCTTTGTGTCTGGGCAACAAGCATAGATGCTCTTCAAGTATAATATGTGTCAATGAAATTCCCTTCATGGGGATTAGCATGAGTTATTTTATACTAATTCAAATACTGGCCATTTTGACCAAAAAAATTATAATGAGATGATTTATAGCCTTTTAATTAAGTTATCTAAATTATCACCCAACTCATAAACTTCCTTGAAAATATCCCAGTATTTTGAAGGAAGTAATAAGGTTAATGCCTGACTTTGTATCTCTCCATTCAGTGGCCTTACACATTATACCCTTCTAGACTGTTAAAAATTAGCAGCCACAGCAAGCTTAAGCAAAAAAACAGGGTGCTCAGTATTATCAAGGATCACCTAAAACATTTGCACATATGTTATTTACACAGAAATAAATCCCTCACTTCTGTCCATGTTGGGGGAAGATGGCGGGGATCAGATGGCAATATGAATTCCTTTTTTAAAATATTTGTTTTCATTTATGTATTTATTTAGCTGCCCATGGTCTTAGTTGAGACAGGCAGCATCTTTAGTTGCAGCATGCAGGATCTTTAGTTTCCACATGTTCCCCGACCAGGGATCAGATCGAGGTCCCCTTGCATTAGGAGCACAGAGTCTTAGCCACTGGACCATCAAGAAGTCCCAATGTGAATTTCTTTATGTTGTAAGTGGCAGATCCAGCTAACAGTGAAACTGGCAGGTGCAGACTGGCCCTGGAAGGTGCCTCAAGCCCCATCCCCCAGTACAGTAGACTCCTCCAATTGGCCCTGCCACCCACCCACCCTCACCTCCAGCATCCTTTGGGTCCCAGCGCCATGGGGCCCCAGGCAGGGAGGAACTTGTTGGTAAAGCATTGATGGTGGAGGCTCTGCCAAGGGAGGGAAGGCAACCTTGCCCAGCAGATGGTGAATTTCTAGGCTGGAAGAAGAGGTGTTAGGATTTCTGGGGTCTTTCTCTGCTCTTCAGATCATATATTATAAGTTCCTACCTAATACCCTCTGAAAAGCAGCCTGACTGCCACTGTAAAGGGGAGGACTGCTTTGTGTAAGAGCTTCTCTGGTTGTCCTACCTTTTAAGGAAGCTGACCCATAAGCTGGGGTCTCTAGGCAGCACTGAAGCCCGCTCAAGTCATAGCAAGAGTCCCTGCAGGTATGGGGTGTGTGTCATGGTCCTGAGCCAGGCTGAGGCGGGCACCCTGCCCAGAGAGCAGGCCTGGCCTGGGCTGGTCTGTGCCCTTACCCTAAAGATAAGAGCTGGGTAAAAATACTCCTGCAAATCTCACGTTGCGGTGTGCTCTGTAAGTGAAGTAAAGTCACTCAGTCGTGTCTGACTCTTTGCGACCCCATGGACTGTAGCTTACTGGGCTCCTCCGTCCATGGGATTTTCCAGGTAAGAGTACTGGAGTGGGTTGCCATTTCCTTCTCCAGAGGATCTTCCCGACCCAAGGATTGAACCCAGGTCTCCCTCATTGTTGGCAGACGCTTTACCATCTGAGCTACAAGGGAAGAGATTATCTATTTATTCTATTTGCTCCTTTTTTCCACTACAACCGTTCCAGCCTTACAAGCTACACCAGTTCCCAAATGTGGGCAGCCTCTTCCTACCTGATTTTCTCATCTGTAAAGTGAATACGGTAATCAGAGCACCTACCTCACAGGACTTTGTATTCTGTGGATAAATTCATAACACATTCTCAGCAAGGTGCCTGGCTGGGGCATTGTAAGTATCAGCTATGAAAACAATTATTTCCACCACATGCCTCTCCTATTAACTCTACTCTTCATACTCATCTTGCCCAATACATATTTTCATTTACATTTTAAAAATAAGAAAGTTACTACTAGACTATTTTGAGTTCTCAAATGGTGTTCTAGAGGTCTGCAACTATTGTACAAAATATGTGGTTAACAATCCACATTATGTATGATCAAATTAATATAGTTTATGGGTACAGAATGGCTCCCATCCAAGTACTAACCAGGCCCGGCCCTGCTTAGCTTCCAAGATTGGGAGGGTTCAGGGTGGTATAGCCATAGGCCATAGACAATTCCTTTGGGGATGAAGAAGATGCTCTAAAATTAGACTGTGGTGATGACTGCACAATTCTTGTGAATATACTAAGAACTACTGAATTGTAAACTTTAAATGGGTGAATTTTATGAAATGTGAATTATATCTCAACAAAGTTGTTCTTATAAAAAATAAGAAAGCTGAGGCTCACAGCATTTAAATGTCTTCATTTTCACACCTAGTAAGTGGCAAAACCACCAACCAAAGACAGGCAGGTCTGTCCCCAAAGTCCAGGCTTCCATGTCCAAACCAAAAAGTGTCTCCTCTTTGTTCTGGTAGAGAATTAAGCCAATTTGCCTTTGAATTTAAAAATCTTCCCATGAAACAGAGTTACAAGAAAACTACTATATATAAAATTCTTGTCCCACATGCAGAAAATACTTTCAAAACACAAGAAAGCTGTGTTGTGCCATGAGTGACCAATAAGTTACTTTTCCTCTGGTAGCAAAATCAAGATTTTCCCTTTAGCACCTAGAGCACTTTGGCATCTGTCCTCAAAAAAAAAAAAAATTTCTTCTGATTTCTTTACATTTAAAAAATGAAGACTTCCTTGGTGGTCCAGTGGTTAAGACTCCATGCTTTCGGTGCAGGGGGATGGGAATTAACATTCCACATGCCACATATCATGGCCAAAAACTAAATACAAATAAAAATTGAAGTCCTAGATGTTTTCTATAAGGAAGCTGTGGTACATATACACCATGGAATATTACTCAGCCATTAAAAAGAATTCATTTGAATCAGTTCTAATGAGATGGATGAAATTGGA